CTACGGTTTATTGTGGGCAGCCCCAGTTGGTCCTGTTCTAAGGCTTTCCCTCCCTTTCTGGTGAAAAGCACTTGTACCGTGGCCCTGCTGGTGGCCTGAATCACCTCAATTTGTTCTAGCAATCAGAGGCAGCTGCTCCCAGTGAAAGGAGCGTGGACCACTGAACAGAGCATTAGGGCTGACCTCAGGCTGAATGCAAAAGGCTCAGCCTTTTCGGCGAGGCCAGTCGAGCATGTGCAAACAGATTTGCTGAAGTACAAAATGGTCCAGTGATTTAATGCAAGTTTTCTTCTCCCTTTCTCTCTTTTTCCCTTTCAGAAATGAGACAGGATAGAGGATAGCCTGGGTACAATCTTAGCAACATCTGTTGCCTTTCACTAGGGTCTTGGCCAAGGCCAATAGCTATTCAAAGAGCTACTGACACTTTACTGAAAGAGAAGAAAGGCTTAAATGGAGAAGTGTTTGGACATGTTTCCCAACACATACAGTTGGATCTTTTTGTGGGTCAGAATGCTTTTGGAGAAATACTTCTCCACTCCCTCCCCCACTCCCCCCTTTTCGGGTGAAAATGTCAGAAAACAAATCTTCAGCAAATTACAGAGCTCAGTGGGCCTACAACACTGAAGAACAGTTAAATTTTCCTTTCTTTGCTTTTATTGTCTGAAATAAAGGGTGTTTGATGACCAAAATCTTAACCACAGTTAATAGAAGTGTGAAGGAATTTATGCTTAAGATTGCTTCACATCTGTTACTTTCTAATTTCCACATCAATTTATCTTTTAAAGTAACTAGTAATAGCAGTGGAGCAACTGCAGCATTTTAGCTCTATTAAGATGACTGATATTGTATGAAGAGATATTTTACAAAGTTATTTCTTATGTTTGTTTTCCTGTGTGCTCTCCCCCCACCCCCCCTCATAAACATTAATTTCATCCAGCACTTAGGAAGAGGCAGTTACCTGTTTCTCTCTCCCTTTTTTCCTCACATAGCTTTTCACAGGCAATTTTGCTCTGTCCATCCATGACATGCCTTCATAAAAATGACAGATGAAGCAGCTGAGTAACTGGTGGGTATATTATCCTCCTGCAGGCATCTGCTGCTCAAAAGGCACCTATTCTTTTGTTTGCCTTGAGACAGAGGCTGTATATTGCATCCCATATATGAAGTCATTCTTATCAGCCTTCCCCTATTTTGAGGATAATCACAGTAAATTAAATAAAAGCTACTCAGAGGAAGTCTAGTAGAGTTATTCAATTACAAATATTTGCAATGAAGCTTGATGTAAGTACATGTCTGTAGACACAGAAGATATTGCTAGAATCCTCAAGGAGAAATGCTGTGGAGCTTCCAGTTTTACTGAATTTTTTGTTTTGATCAGGCCATGCTCATTAAATTCAAAGCAAGATGAATATCTGTGGATGAGCACAAGCTTCATGACATGGGATGTCTTACAGTAGCTGACTCACGTGTATTATACTCATGTGTGTAGTAAATTATTAGTATCTATCTGTATAGTAGTACTTCACACCGAGATACAGGTGCTTGTGCTCGGTGTCCCTTGACTGACCTAAAAAACCCCTTGTCCCAGAAAGTTTCCAACAGAAATATATATGACAAACTTCAGTGACTCAGAGGAAAACAAAAGCAGTACTTTTGAAATAGCAAGGCTTGCAGGGCTGGGAACACCAAGGTCAGTGTTGCTGAATGACTAGGCACAGCATCCCAGTGACCAGCACTGATGTCTCCAAAGGGCACATTGGAGGAAATATGATAAAAGAGTGAAGGGGATTGAATGAATTGCTTGTGGTGCTAGGACATTACTAACCTGCTAAGTGTGGGAGGAAGCAAGTTCCAGAGAACTGCTATTTTCTTTCATCTGCCCTTGGCAGTTTTTTTCCCTTACACATATAGCCGTGGGAAGAAGTAGAAGGAAATAAGGATTGTTTAGGCCCTGGTTCTGTTCTTGCAGCACAACCATTGCTGTAATGCTTTGGGACTTGCATCTTCATCTCCACCATTTGGGACTTGTAAAGATTTCCACCACTTTCTGCAGGAGTGGTACAAAATGTTGTGCTTCATATTCTGAGCTAGTTTTCAAACCAACAATAACATAGGTTTTTCATAAAACTTATTTTTGTCTCATTGACTAAACAATGTTTTCCCACTGATTTTAATGAATGCAGAATCTATCCCAAGGAAAGGTAGAAGTTGGATAGCATTAAGGGATGTATAAGCTTTTAACATTTTAAGTATAAAAGTAATGTCTAAGTTGTCATTTCTAAGGAATAAAAAATTTGATGGATACATTAGCTGGGTGGAAAATTGACATATGAAATTATGTCTCCTTCAGCACTCACACCAAGTAATTTTGAGAGTGGGCAGTTCAGGATGATGAAGATAGTGACATTTTTTTCTTTAACTCTCTTAGAAGACATTTCCATCTGCTTCCTATACAACTGCTTACATACTGGTGTAGAATTCTTTCTACATAAATATTCAGGTATAGCAGATTAGCATTTTGTTTAACATCCAGACTTGAAAAGTTGGATTGCTTGAAGGGGAAAAGGGAGGGTCATCATCATGCTCCTCACTTGTAGTGCTTCTTGTGCTTATAATAGTCTACATTTTGAAAATGTGTTTTGTGGTTGTTAGGGACTTTTAGCCTTTTTTTGTTGTCTCCAGTTTTGGGAGGGTTTTTCTGAAAGAGAGACTGCTTGTCCAATTTTTGCTGTGGTCAGGGGAAAAACCTACAAATAATAATAAAAAAGTTGCTTACTAAGCTGAAGTTTTCACACAGGGAAGGTTATGAGCATCTTGAATACCAGTTATGATGCAGAAGTATACATAATTCAGGCCATTTATTCAGAAAAGACTTCAAAATTGTAGCTGTAATGGATGATTTTGTTTGTGCAAGTGTTCAAGCTTGTCTTGACAAATCACAATGGAATACTGAAACCTAGTTTGGGTTTAGAGGTCAGTGGAGGAATTATTCATATTAATTTTGTACAGTTGATGTAGAGTATAGGGTCTGATCTGAAGATAGACATCCTTTTATGTATGGGAAGTTACTGGTTTAATTGTGTATATATTGGCATTTTTCACAAGTAATTTAGCTGTAGATTTTCTGATGGATGCTACACAGTAGCAATCTCCCTGAAGCATGCAAAACTCCCTGAAGTCAATTGGACTCCCTATGTATAGCTTTTCATAGAATCAGACAAATTGCGATTCTCTATCACAATTCCTCTGAAAAAATTACATCAGTTGTACCACAGTATGAATGCCTGGCAGAATTTATCTTAATATACAGCAGAAATGCATCTAACCTATTTTTTTCAGCATACATCAAAAAGAGAGGAATGCTGATTCTAAGCAGTGATGCTTCTTCTCCACCAGCAGGATCTTTCCGTCATGACACATCAATCTGACACTCGTGATTTTTTGAACACAATTTGAATGATTTTTGTCATCAAGAGGAGCTCGTAAAAGCAGCTACATGACATCTGATAGAGAGTTACTGTTTAACTTAGCACCATTTCAATGTTAGTGCAGGTCCAAGGATACAAAAGTAGTTGGCATTTTGCATGCTCTTCTCCATTCAGACAATCCAGAAACAGGATTATTTTCTGCTCCTGCCCTGACTGCATTTTTGATCATTTTTTGTTTGGACAACATTCTTGAATGAATCAGAATAAAATAGTTTTTTTATGATTCTGCCTCCCAGAATCCTCTCATCTCCTTTCCTATCTCTTATTCTTAGCCCCCCCAACCTGTTTTTTGTTTTAATTCTAATATTTTAAAATAATATTCATCCTTTTATTACTAGCACCTTTCTTTGTCTGCTGCTGATTTCTTTTTTATTCCTCTATTGGTAATCCATACTTGCAGAGCACTCACTGCACCACACTGCCAGCTTTGTCACTCTGTATTGTATCTCAGTGCTGGCCAGCTTGGTACATCCACTTATAATATGATGAATAGCATCTGGAGCCTGGCCACACAGCCTCCATTCTGGTCCTAGTGCTTTTTTAAGCCACCTATCCTTGCTTGTACAAATAGCCCATTCCTGTGTGGCCATAATGAAATTCTCCATTTTTCTTTTCAGTCTTCTGACAGCCTACCTGCCATTTGCCATCGTCCTTTGACATTTGCAAATTTTTTTCCATGGTTTTGTTTTTTAATTGGTTTATTCTTGTGCTGTTCTTACTGGTGTGTGACTAATAAATTACCCTCAATAGTAGAATCTTTTAATTTTGCAGCTTCCTTATGATTAAACAAACTTAGAGTTTTTTAACTTTACAAGTTCCCTTCCTACAACTCCCTTTGTTGCTGTTCTCTGTTATTCCTGACAACATCAACTCCATTTTTAATTGCATTCACTTTTATCACCTCAGGCAACTTTGACTTCTTATTACTTGTACAGTTACATTGCAGATTAACTAGATTTACTTTTGAAGAATACCACTCTTGCAAATATATCAGCTACTCAGATTTGCCAGTATATGTGGACCAAAAACGTCATCAAAAGACTGTGGAAACTCAAGGGAGGAGAGAGAGGAGCCAAAGAGGGACAGATGGAGCCATGACGGTAATGTTTAATTGATAAGGTAACACTTCCTAAGCAGAATGGGTGGTTGTGGATACCCAAAGTGACCTCATAAATTCCCATTTGAATCACCACTACTAATTACTATAATTTAGTTCATATTATGATGTCAATTTGACTGACACATTTTTGGAGGATATTCTGCAAAACATATTCTAAAGAACAGGTTGAAGAACTTGCTATTGTTAGGCATGTCCCCTGTGGTTCTACATTGGGTTGAAAACACTCAGAATATAGACAGCATTGTAATTGTCTCAAAAATGTCAAACTTTAAATAGGAAAATAAACCTGTGAGGACACAGAAAGACAGAGACATCCCTCTGTTAAATGACTTTTCAAAGGCTGTGAGTGTCTTCAATTTCAATAGGCTTTATTTTTTTGCCTTCTGCAATTTATAGAAAAAGATACTAAACTGCAAGCTCTCCTGCTTGTTTTATGAAAGACCAATATCCACATAAATTTTTAAGAAAAAGAAAAGTTATCATTTTGCATCTTAGCGTACTACATTTTCATAGTGAAGGAACTCTACAAGCTATTGATAAGTGCATAATGGAACTTGCTTCTTCCCACACAGTGAATTACCAGAATGCAGGTAGCAGTTACCTGACACTGCTCTTTTTCAGAAGGTGCATAATGAGTGTACAGATAGAAATGTTAATATAGAGAGACAGTCAGAGGCTCAGGGGACTGAATACAACCACTAAACAAATTTGTTTTGCGTTTCTAGTCAAAATCCTCCATAAGCAGAGGCCACCGAAGCTCTCACTGTCTAAGAAGTATTTAAGAGCATGCTTCAGGACATGCAGTTTCAGGTTTTGTGGTCCTAAATCTGCCTATGGATCCACTCTACAGAACAGCAACACGACTAGTAATGTGAAGAGGCATCCTTGATAGTTCCAGAAGTGAACAGATGGGAAGGGTGCCAGTACCAATGTGTTTTGATGCCTGCAGTTACTCTTTACAGCACCTACCTAAGACACAGTCTAGCATGGTCCAAGGTTTGTTCTGTAGACTTTCCTCTGGAAGTGCTAACACACCATACAACCTATTAGAAAGAAATGCAACAGTGCTGTAGGTGTGGATTCCTGCCAAAATGATCCATTCAGTGCTTTGGAATGGACTGAGTCATTGGCAAAAACCCACAATCAAGACAGTCAAGAACAAAATGTATTAAAAAATATACATTTGCTTATGTTACTAAAAATGGTAGATTGCCAAAAGTGACTAAGAATAATTGCTTCTTTATATTTCATTCTGCCTGTGCAATGAAATTAAATTGGCCTGCTTAGTCACATATTTTGCTTGGAGTCACTGTTTTACTCCCATGAAAGTCAAAGGGTTTCATACATTTTATTTTGATATGACAACATAAGCATTTAGAAAAATAATAAGACAAAAATATCTATCCTATTTTCAACAGTGTAAAAATAAGTTCAGACGTTTTCACTGACACACAGTTTAATGAAAGGTTTTGCTTGAGGGACTAGATTTTGGAACATAAAGCACATCCTTGAGAGAGGTCTGTTAGGAAGAAAGTCATGAAATACTCCGTGAAGCTACACATGAAAGCTTTTTAATTGGGTGATAATTGACTATTCTATTTTTCCATTAGTAATATCTGGATCAGAATCAAAATTAATAAGAAAGAGTCCTTCCTTTATAATGATTTTAAGTGACTGTAAAACTATTTCGTCCCTATTTTGAACCTGAAGAGCAAATAAAAAGTTTGAGGATATTTGCTGAAGTTTATGAAACTCAGAACCTCTTGTAGATTCTTTTTTTATGCCATCCTGTTTGCAAACAAAGATATTTTTTTTCTCTGTTTGTAACTGTTCTGTTTTCATCTTTGAAGTCGTGGCTACTGAATTAAGTGGTAAAAAGATAAATTTTCATGGTTACATCTCTGAATTAATTTGAAAGAAGATAAAGCAGAGGTATTTATGATATTTCATGATAGAAAAAAGATAATCTGTCCTTGAACCTTGTCCTCTAAGGATCAGTGCAGAGAGTCTTATTTTGATTAACTTGTAAAAGATGAATTAGGGATTGGGGGAAGGAGAACAAAGGAAAGGCGAATCCTTAATTACAATCTTAAGCAACTGTGTGCAATCATGTTTCAGGATTTTCTTGCCTGAATACATCTTATTAAGTTGGAACCATGCACTCAGACACTCCACAACTTGGAGAATGTAGATTGCTTCTAGTTGCTCTCTTTAAACCACTACTTCAGTTCACAAATGCCATGTTGAATTGCCTCCCTCTGATTAGAAGGGTGACATTGGAAATCACGTCTGAAAGTGAAGCTTAAAGACAAGAAATAGCAGTTACATATTACATTTATTAAAAGAGTTATGCATGCTGAAATTGTGTATTCAAAGACTATAAACTAATTCAGAAATTAAAATAATTTTTAAAAAACCTTTGTGATCCAAACCAATTGTTTTGTTGCTGTTTTTTTCTCATTGAAGTGACTTTATCTGCACATTACTTTATTAGTGTTGACAGCACACTTCATAGTATAATGTATAGTAGGAATGGAAAGTAATTATATATTCACATGATTGGTTTGTTTATATCATGTTGAAAATGCTTTTCTGGTAGATATAACCCAAAAGTCATTGGCCAAGGTGCATCTCTTACAGTTGCCCTTGGTACAGTCCATTGTTCTAAAAACAGTAGGTGTTAAAAATATTTTTGTCCGTGAAAAATGTCAGTTCAGCAGCTCTGCCAACATTTGGAACCTCTGCTTTTTTTTTTTTTTTTTTTTTTTCTTCAGGAGGCGTGCTGACTCCTGGCTGATCACGTTTCAGTTGTGGATCTGTTTCGTTCTGCAGACCCAAACGGCTTCAGCACTGCTGGAGGGAGGCACAAAGTTCGTGCTGCCGCTTTCCCAGCCGGACCACGTCCGAACAAAGCAGGTACTCATCTCCCAGAGCGGCTGCCCCGAGCAGCTCCGGGGTTGCGGGGCTCTGCTGCCGGGCTCCTGCCCCAGCGTGACACCGAGCCTTCTCCTGCTGCCGGCGCGCACACTCCGCTCTCGCCACCCTTTATTCTGGGAAAACACCCGGTTCAGTTATTCATCGTATTTTTTACTTTTTAAAAATCCTCCTCTCCCTGCTCACCACCACCCCGCGGTATAAAGGGCGGGCAGGGAGGCGTGACAGCAGCTCTAGGGAGACACAGGGCAGCAGGGCTGCGAGGTTTTGAGTGCCCCGAGCACATCGGAGGTGGCTCTGTGCCCTGCCCGGGGAGCAGGAGAGGGACGGGGACCCCTGCCCGGCCCCGCGGCTGCCCCACGCCGGGCAGGAACGGGCAGGGAGCGTGGGCTTCACAAGCTGCAGGCTGAAAGGGCAAAGCTTTGAGGCAGGGACTCCGCAAGTTCGATTTAGTTTTGCGACTTTGTCTTCACGCCTCGAAAGCTCAGTCGAAGCTTGTAGGACAAATTGCGTGGTGGGTTGTGAGGTGGGGGGAGAAGTAAAAAAAAAAAAAAAAAAAAAAAAAAAAAAAAATCTTGAAGTCTCTCCTTCAGCTCTCTGTTTCAAATGCAAATAGGGAGAGAGATTGGTTCCCGCCCCACCCCCTAGCCCGGCTCCTGATTTTTATCCAAAGGACTCCATCTGTATATCCTGTCAAGGAGGAGGAGGAGAAGAGGCGGGGGGTGGGGGGGTAGTGGGGCCGGGCAGGCTGCTTGCTCCCTGGATCCCGCTTCAATAGCCACCGCTGGGTCTTCGGGAGCTACAAAGAGTCCCTGTGCCGCCTCCGCGCGCCCTCGGACGGAGCTGGCAGCCGGCTCCAGCCACCGAGCCGTGATATCCCCTGCCCAGAGCAGCATCCCCACCTCCTCTGCTTTCTCCCTCCCTCCCCGCTCCTTCCCTCCCTCCTCTTCCTCCTCCTCCCGCAGCCACGATCCGCACCCAGTCGGAGCTGGGCTTGGCACCGGCACCCATCGTGTGCCCGGCGGCTGCCTGTGCAGTGCCGCGCCGTGCCGTGGAGGAGGAGGAGCGGAGCAGCGGCCGCGCTCCCATCCCCGTCTCCGCGGGCGCGGGCGAGTGCGCGGGCGGGCGCGCAGCCCCCATGCCCGGTGGGCGCCCCGCCGCCCGCAGCCGCCCCCCTTGCTTGGGAGCATCCCGCCTGCACTTCGCCGCGGAGGCACCGCCGGCCCTTGGAATTAAAACACTCACCACGCTGGGCAGCCGAGGGAGAGGGGGAGCAGGTAAGTGCCGGCTGCACCTGTGCCTATCCTTGCCTTCCTTCCCCTTCCCGTTCCCCTCCCCTGTAGGCAGAGGGCGGTGGGAGCAGTGGCAGGAAAGGGCTGCGCGCTGCTGCTCCGCACCCGCTCGCCCGGAGCGGCTGTGCCCGGAGCGGAGCCGCCGCTCTGCGGAGCCGGCGGGGGCGGCGCGGCCGCAAGTTTGGCGTTCCCCGGCCTGGGGGCGGCCGGGACCGGCCGCGGGAGCGCCCAGCGCCAGGTGTGGCGGGGAAACCGTGGAAAGTGAGAGCACTGGGACTATAGGCGCGTGTGCACCTTCTGAGAAATAAGAGAACAATAGCATCACTCTTGACTCTTTGGAGAAGTCTCACAGACAAGCGGGGACGAGGGGTGGGGGAAGGGAGTACCACAGACTTCTGCAAAATATAGGCAGCCCAAAGTCCTGACTGTCTCAGTCCTTTCTGCCAAGCCAAAGCGGCTATCTTGCTTGGGCTCGAAGTCTGGCGGTGATGCTACAGTGCAAAATATTATAGAGACAATGAAATTTCCTGAGTTGTTTCCCAGAGCTTTTGTCCTTCTATGTCAGAGATGTTCTAGAGTTTGCAAATGTTGAAATTATGGGAGCTGTTTCTTTGATTAGTATTCAGCTGGTAAGGCTAGCTCTGCAGTGCTTGGCTGATGCTGACCCTTCCCCCTCCGCCCTGTCCCCCAATCCATCCACATATCCACACACGGGCATGTCCTGCTTTCCTTTCCTACAATAGGCTGTGTACACCAGTAGCGAGAGGTTTGTCATCTGGATCCTCAGACTTCTAGTTGCTAATGGAGGCAAAAAATATCCCTTTTTGAGATATGGTTTAGCTTTTATACTGCTTTCAAAAGGTGAAGTAGTTCAGGTGTGCCAAGATTCTACAAACGATGCCTTACCCGGGATGTGGGAAAGGATAGGAGATGGATAATTGTGATGTGCTCTGAATCTGGGAACTGAAATGCTGATACTTTAATCTTCCCCCCTTGCAAGGATAAAATCTTACGTTCTGATAGATAACTTGCTCAAGCCAAACCAGAGACTTGAAAGGGCAGAGTATACTTCATAGTCTCTCTAACAAGACATACTGACTTGCAATTTTTCAGCTAAAACATAGGTGTTTGTGCAGCTTTGCAGAAAATAAATTGCTTTTCCAGGACAAATAAATTAATACATAAAAGAGCCAAACTCTTGAGCATGCCTGTTTCTGAAGCAGTCTCTCCTTGGCGTTGATGCGTGACTTTACTTCTCTATGTTTATTATATCTGCTAATTGTTTCTGTGTTGCATTATTTGAGTTTGCTGGGAATTGTTAACGGTGAAAGCTATGTACTTTGTTTCTGAGAAAGGTGGGTCTACAGAACCCCAGGTGCAGAGCTGTTCAGATGGGCAGCCGCATGAAAGTTGCATAACTAAATTAAGTTTGCTTACCCTGTAGTTTCTGAAGGTACAACAGGTCAACAGATAAAGATCAGCTATAAAGTGATGCTGATTTTTTTTTCTCAGTAATATTGCATCAGTTTTAACAATGCAAAAGTGAAGTGAGGATATTTGGAAATGGTACGATTGTGCCTCATTAGAGCTAGTTCAGTGCAACGGGTGTGTTACCACCTTTGGAGGAAAAAAAGAACACAAAGACCACTTAACAAACCCAGAACAACTATCCAGGGACTAAATGTGCTATTATTTTCAAGTCCTTTTACACAATTTTATAGCTTTTCAGTCTGCAACTACCAGGGGATCTAATCTAGACATCTAGACACACATTTATTTTAGGGTCATGAAGAAAGGCTAAGTAAAATTCAAAAAACAATTGCAGTAAAATCCACAGTAAGGGAGGGCCTAGCTCTGACAGCTTTTAATATTAAGTATGTGCAATATCTAGGGTTTGAGTACTCAATAAAGGTTTAAAACTACCAGGAATATTAGGAATATATCTAAGGTAATATTCTGAGCTACCACTGCATATTAGAAATGTGTGTCAGTTAATGTGAGTGAAAATACAAACATCAGTAATATAGCCTATTTTCTTGCAAAAAGCCATTAAAGATTACAATTTTAATCAAGGAACATTTCACCCTTATAATGGGAGACTTTACTGTAATTAAAGGCTGATGTGGGTCATTAGAATAGTGTTAAAAGTCAGATGACAGCCTCACAACTCTCCTTAGTCTACTTTCATTGATTTAATAGCAAGGCACTATTGATAATTTACTACTGATTTAGTAGGAAAATATTTTTAAGTTTTCATGTAAAAGTGTAATTGTAAATTATTTGTACAGCAGCAGAATTTTCTGATGAGAAGAATGGATATAATATCCACATAGATTTTCGCCTATCCTTTTCACATATGACTGTGTGTACGTACACATTCCCACATTTTTCTGTGTTTCTTCAGCAGTGAGAGACTTGACTGAAGAAAATCATTACTAATGCAAGACCCTATATTGTTCTACTCCAACTTAAATTCCTACTTTGCTATAAACCTGACTAAGCCTTTTCTCAAAGGGATTCAACTCACAAATTGACTCCCATGTGTGATGAAAACAGAAAATATTTTAAATTTCAGCTGGTTTACAGATGAAGATAGTGCTTGGGAGTCAGTCCTAGTGATGTCTAGTAAGTTTTTGTGAGTGTTTTCAGTCTATTGACTTCTGTATCTGATGTGTTCAGCGGTTCTTCAATGAAGGCCTTTCTTGAGCCATTCCTTTTCCTTTAGTTTATCACACACATTTTTTTTCATGTACGCTTTCATGCTGCTACTGGGTATTGTTTTCTCGTGGCTATAAAAATCATTAAATTCTATCTGAGGCAGGGTGCATAAAATAGATGGTTGCTTCAGTTCTTCCTGTCAAACCAGGCTTAACTCTAAGCAGTAATGCAGGAGTGCCTCCTCTGGGAATTCAGCAGTTCTGCAAGAAAGTCATCCCTAGGCATTATGTGACGTTCTTCAGCTGAAATGAGGCTGCAAAAATTGAGCTTGTGGAAATTTAAATATTTGCCTTGATTGGTCCCAGATCCAAAAATACTGCTGGTGTTTCTTTTCAATAACTGATCAAATTAGCATAATCCTTCCCAGCATCTTAGATCTTTCAAATGCACCATGGCAAGGTGAAAAACCAATAAAACCCTTTCATATGGAGAAAATGATATTAGAAAAAAAGATCTTTCTTCTGCTAATTTTGCATGGGGAAGAAAACAAACTTACTAAGAACCCAAACAATTTAGCACTCTAGACACGTGCAATCTTATGATCAACTGCAGAGCAGTGTAAAAGACCAAAAGCTGTTGCTTGGTTTTCTTTATGAAAATTTTAAAAGCCATATAATTTATTGCAGTATACCTCGTGTTTTTCTATCGTCTCATCAGGTCCTTTCACCTGAGTCAGAGGGTATTGGAGCCAGTTTAGTGTAACAGAGCCATATGTTTGGAGCAGTGATAGTTTTTTGCTAGATAACCAGATGCAGACTGCAGGATGTGCACTACATTTACAGATCTCCCATGTGAATATTTAGGCCAGTTAGCGGCAGGAGGTTGTGGTCTGTAGTTGTAATGTCATCTGGCACAGGGAGTTAATAGGTTTCATCGTACTGCCTTGACTTGCAGAGCTTCATTTCATCACAGGGTCCCCACCTCTCTTGCTCCAAGGCACCCTCCTTTCCTTTTTTACTTTCTCTGAAAAAA